AATCGTTTACAGTTTGTATTGGTAAGAAGAATTGTAAGAAACAGAAGAGGGTACTAAAAGAGAGAGATAGAGTGTATCAGAAAAAGTGAAGAAAGAGAGATTTAAGAAGAGTTCGTTAGACAAGTTTCAGTTGGTTTGTGGGGTGTTTTGGCTTTCATCAGCATCGGTCAACAGTGGAAAAGAACATGATAATGAAAAGAAATCATATCAAAAATATAGAAAACGACTACAATTAGTTGATATCATCATAGTAATTGTAATGTTGTAATGTAAGAAGAAGAGTAATAATTAATAATTGCAATAATCAATAGAATATATAAATTGTCATAGGATATAATAGCAATTGCAAAATAAAATAGATCTGATCTTTTCTAGAATGCAGCAGTATAATTCTTTGTTGGAGCACAGGGTTTGCTAGGCAAGATGAAAGAGAGAAAAAAATAGAGATAGAGTTTTACAAAATAGAGTGTAGAGAAGAGGGTAACGAGAGAGGTCGAGAAATATGGCTGGAGGATGAAGGATGGAGGTTTCTGGTGATGGTGGTCTAGAAAGCTGTTCAGATGTGCTGCTGGTGGTGGTGAACAGGTGAACATTACAGTTATGGGTGGCCCGGTCGGTCGGTGACTACAGGTGATGACCGGGGTCCACACTACCCGAATTGGAAAATGGATAAACAACTAAGGATGGAATTGTGAGTGTGAGTGTATTGGGTGTGTATTGGGTGTGAGTGCCAGATCTCAATGCAAAAAAGGAGGAAGAAGAAGAAAACAGGAGAATCACTAGGAGGAAGGAAACGAAGGATTGAATAATAACACAGAGAACAACGAAGGTGAGAGGGAGAGAGAGAGAAAGTTAAGTATCAAGTGGAAGCGAAACGGGTGTGAAACACTGGAGTGCAGCCACCCTACTGTCAAAGACGAAAAAAAGTAGTGCACTGATTACACTGTCTGTAATGTGTGTTAGTGAGTGAGTGAGTGTGTGTAAACTATATTTGCAGATGTTGATAAGTGACATCTTAGCTCGATGTATGACGGTGATGATGGTCATGTGTGGCAGCCGGTGTGCCGCCTGTCTGGCTGACTGTGATAACCCTGTGTGAGTGTGTGCTGGAAGCCAAACAGACAGCGGGAACACACTTCTCACGAGGAAGAGAGCAAAGACAATCTTGCAAAAGCTAGGGGTAGTTTAATTGGGTAACTTTTTGTTTTTTCAAAAGATATTATTCTTGTTGTTAAGAAATGGTTGGTAATTGGTTGGTGGTGGTTCTCTACGAAGTATTGAAGTATTGGGAGACGAAGGAAGGATGGAAGAACGCATCGGCATGGAAAAGAAGAGAGAGAGAGAAGGAAATAGATGGAACCGGTCAAAAGTGGTGAGTCAAAAATATGATGAGGGAGAGAAGGGGTAATAAGAAATGGAAAAATATGATATATCCTAAGCAATGGTAATTGGAAAATGATCTAAAAATATAGAAATATAATATGTATGTGTGTGTGGTATAGCTTTGGAAAAATAATTAAACTATGTTCAGCGGTAATAACAGTTGAAGAAACAAAAGGCGACGGTCTCTCGTTGGTGGTGGTGGTAGTGGTGGCGGTGATATTGTCTAGTCACTTGTGAGGATTATTGTTGAAGGATGATGCGCACAAGAGGATGGAAAGTAGGTGATATATTCTCTTTGCATGATTGTGATTATGGCTTGTGCACTTGTGTTTATATTATGTGCTGGTCAGAGAAGGAGTGGCGGCATGGTGAGTGAGATGGGGACCAGACTGTTGAAGCATTGAATCTGTGTAGAAGAAGTCACCAGAGAAATACGATGTTTCACTCATTTCAATGCTACTAGCCCTAAATGGACGCTCGTTGAATGGCCTGTAAAAGTAAAGGTAAAAAATTGGTGAAAAGTTGCTCAACTGAGGCTTCAAACTCAGTAAGTACCTCGTCAACGTATTGCAGGTCCTGCTGAATCTGCTGCTGAATCTGGTACAGCTGCTGAAGAGACATGCCGCTCAGCTCATTTGGTCGTAGGCGACGGAATGAATCGGTGTTTCGCACCATTTCCAGCTCCTTCTGAGTCGAGTTCAGCATGTCGATTGCCTGGGTGCAGAAAAGATTAGTCACAGCCCTCTCTCAACCAGCAGCAGACCACCCCCCAAACGCCTACCTCGTCACGAGCCTTCTCTGCCATCTTCTCTCGAGCCGCCGCCTCCTGAAACTGCTGCTGCATCATTTGGTTCAGATTCTGAAAGAAAGTAGGGCAAAAGATAAAAAACATGCCAAAAAGGTGTGTACAAAACACACGAGCTTTACCTGTAGATTGAACATCTGCGTCTTCTGCATTAGATTCTCATCTCGGTATCGCTGCACCTCCATCACCATCATCGCCATCTCCTGCTTGCTCATGTTCAGCTGAGCCAGCGCAGAGTGCGCCACCGGGGTGTTCTGCGGCGGTCCGCCGCCGCCGCCACCGCCGAGGTTCATCGCCGTGGGAAAGGCATCAAAGATGGACTGAGAGGAGCCAATCGAGGAGGAGCCAGGCGGACAGGACGTCTGCCGGGAGAAGGAGCCCACCGAGGAGGAGGCCACCATCGGCCCGATGAAGGCGGAGGGCGAATTGGCGGCCAGCTGTCCACTGCCGATCATCGGCGGCGACAGGTTGAAGCCAGTGGCAGAGGCGGAACGTGGGTCGGCGCCGCCGCCCAGCATCGAGGACTGTGGGCCCATTCGTTGTCCTGAGGAGGAGGGGAGAAAAGAACAAAGAACATTCATTAAAAGGTTCAAGCATTACCACCCCACTCACAACCAGTACCTGGAATATTGATGGGTGCAGAGGGATCATTGAGGAGTGAACTCCGTCGGAGCACGTTCACCGAGCCGAGCGTGCTGTTGGCCATGTCGGCCATGCCGCCCATCGAGCTGTTGTGAGGATTGTCGNGAACTCCGTCGGAGCACGTTCACCGAGCCGAGCGAGTTGTTGGCCATGTCGGCCATGCCGCCCATCGAGCTGTTGTGAGGATTGTCGAGGACTGAGCCTCCAGCATTATTACCATTGGGCGGCGCTGGGCCCATGACCTGCATCTTCCCACCAGCACCACCACCAGCACCACCTCCCTCCGCAAAGCTAAGGGTTTCCTCCATGTGCGACAGCACCGACTCCATCAGTCCGGAGACTTCTGCCGAGCTCTGCTGAGACATGCCGAAGAAACCGGTGCCGGTGGACGACGTCAGAGTGGAGGTAAAAGATGAGGAAGAAGATTGCTGATGCTGCTGTTGTTGATGCTGCTGTTGATGCTGCTGTTGATGCTGCTGTTGATGCTGTTGGTGTTGCTGCTGTTGGAGCTGATTCTGGTGCTCCTGGTACAGCGAAGTGCTGGAGGAGGCGGCCGAGAAGATGGTCGATCCGAGAGAGTTGTTGTTCGAATGGGGAATGTTGTTGCCCTTGTTGCCGAGGAGATTGTTCTTCTCCAGGAGACTCCAGGGCAGCACTGACTTGCTGTTGGTGGCGTGCGTCGAGGCAGAGGTGGAGAAGGNTTGGTGTTGCTGATGTTGGAGCTGATTCTGGTGCTCCTGGTACAGCGAAGTGCTGGAGGAGGCGGCCGAGAAGATGGTCGATCCGAGAGAGTTGTTGTTCGAATGGGGAATGTTGTTGCCCTTGTNCTGTTGATGCTGCTGTTGATGCTGTTGGTGTTGCTGCTGTTGGAGCTGATTCTGGTGCTCCTGGTACAGCGAAGTGCTGGAGGAGGCGGCCGAGAAGATGGTCGATCCGAGAGAGTTGTTGTTCGAATGGGGAATGTTGTTGCCCTTGTTGCCGAGGAGATTGTTCTTCTCCAGGAGACTCCAGGGCAGCACTGACTTGCTGTTGGTGGCGTGCGTCGAGGCAGAGGTGGAGAAGGATCGCGGTCGAGCTATCGGCCCCAGACTGCACCCTCCATGAGCGCCGCCGTTTCCTGAGTGCTGCTCGTGCTGATGAAGCTGAAAGAGAACAGGGAAAATAGGTCATAATTAGGTAAACTTAAAAACAAGTGAAACACCAAAGCTCACTTACCAAAGACAACTGCTGTTGAGTGGCCAGCTCATACTTGTGAATATCAAAGTGGTCAGGCAGAGAGGATGGAATCGTCTGAACGATATTCGGCCGACTGTACGCGGACAGCGAATTGGCGCGGGCAATGTCCACAGGTGAGGTGTTGTTGTTGCAGTTGTTCAGGTTGGCCAGGTTCTTGTGGCCACCACCACCGCCACCAGAGTGATTAGCATTGCTCAGGCTCGGTGGGAGGTCAGTGGTAGGGTCAGTGCTGAACTCGCGTGCTGCCTTGATCTCATCTGAGGGAGAGAGGGTAAAGGATTAAAAAGTTGTAGTGTGGCGATGAGATTAGCGACAACGACTGCCTAAGCAGCTCGATCACCTACCACAGCTCTCCGAGTGGGCAAAGGCACAGAAGGGGCCTCGTGGACAGTGGTTCGACTGTTGAATGTCATTGCACTTGGTGCTCTTGTAGATCTCCGGGTGGAACTGCTGCTCAGTGCGAGTGTGGCAGTACTGGCACTTCTCCTCATTTTCGCAGTTTGACGGATCGCCCCACTCATCGCCCTGCTTCACGCTGGGACAGGGCGTTGAGCGGTAGTTGAAGTTCTTCGGCGTACGACGACGGTCCTTGTTGTTGTGGTACTGCGGACAGGCATAGCTAGCAAGAAGAGGTGAAGAGACGGAAAAGACAGGTTAGAGACATATCCAGTAGATGCTGGCCATTGTCCTACAATGAGTCTGTGATGCTCTCAACAACAAAAGGGTTGACATGAGTACAAAACCAAATGGGGGAAAGACTCATCTGACTTTGTTCAGGGACTACAAAGAGAAGCGGTAAATATAGAAAAGCACACAATGCTGCAAAGTTAATCGATAGCCTCTTGATCCTCCCGCGACTAATTAAAGCAACTAATGAAAAAAAAGATTTTGAAAACTATTATGACGGATTTCTTTTACATTTCCATCAATGCCTGATGATCGTTGTTTGTTTGTCTACTCGTCTTAAGGCGAGAACAAACTTGGCAAAAAATCCATTAAAAATCATAAAGCCACTAGCCACGTGTGCTGACCACCACACCAGAGGGAATTAAAGCAAATGAGAATAGTAATAAATCCACTCTGTGATTCCACTTTCCTCCACTACCGAACCAGTGCATCATTATCACCACCCCCTCGTCAGTGCCCATCATCTCACACATCATCAATCATCTCCTCAATCAATTGCCTCCTTTGGAACTACTTTGAGTCAGTACCTAGTAGTACCCCTTTCAAATAGCACCAAAAAGTAATGGACCAATTGACTGACAGAGAGTCAGACAGAGTGACAGCAGAGTGAGGGGCCCCACAACTGCTGCTGGTGACAGTTCAGTTCACCTGCTTCAGTTCTCGCTGCTGCTGCTGTTCAGTGCCAGTGCCTCTCGTTTTGGCGCCAAGCAA